CAAAAAAACCCCACACATGATATAGCCTACAGAGAGAATGGGACCACCAATATGTTGAGAACAAGAGTGAATCTGCAAAAATGGCTTAAAACTCATTTACTCTCCGCTTTTCTGTCTATGTCAAGACATGGAGCTGGAGTCTCATATATACTAAGGACTCTCTTTTTTTATAACTGTGGCAGTTTAAAATACCCTAAAAGTGGATGCAAGGGCCAGAAAATTAAATTTATGCCCATTTTATGGCTCCTTTAATATAAACAAGACTCAAATCCCATTTTCCTATTGCTTCACCACAACGTGCCATATTGTGAAGGCCAAAAATATAACTTGAGTTCAAAAAAAAATGTGACAAGTTAATGGAAGCTAGGTCCATCCATGGCTCTTAGCCAAGTTGGTCAAAGGTGCAACCCCATACTCCAGTTGTCCCTCATTTTCCAGCTAGTGCTGGAAAACAGGGTATGGATCACTCAAAATAGCTCTACTCTGTTCATTCCCTCTGACGCATTTGGCACTGGCCCATGTCAAAAGACGGGGTACAGGGCTTGGTGGACAATTGGTCTGACTCAAAGTGTTTGTTAGATTTAGGGTATGTCTAGACTGCAGAGTTTTTCTGGGATACCTTTGGTATCCCGGAAAATCTCTGCCAAGGAACATGTCTGCTCTTCCAAATTTTTTTTTCTGGTGAGCAGCCGTATTTTTTCAGCATCCCTGTAAACCTCATTTTACGAGGAAGACGGGATGTTCCGAAAAGGGGTCTTTTTCTGACATTTGGCCCAGTGTAGATGGGCCATATGTCTGAAAAGTCTCTTAAAAAAAAAAAAGTGGAAAAAGATATGCAAATTGCGGTTTGCAATGCAAATTGCGGTTTGCAATGCAAATTGCGGTTTGCAATTTGCGTATCTTTTTTCTGGAAGAACTCTGTAATCTAGACACAGCTTCAGGTGTGCATTCTGCCACTGAGTTTCATGCTCACCTAAGTAAAATTTCACTTTGCACAAGGGCTATAGCCTTCCAGCACCACGTACGCATTTATGCCAATAGGGATTGACTGTGCAGCTGGATGATAGGATAAACCCCACTTGATTCAATTAAGCTCGTGGTGACTTGTATGTTTATCACATGATGGACACCTGCAACCAAGACAATGGAATGTTTACAAGCAGGAAGTCTGATCCAGCATTCTTTCCCCAGATTACACTCCAATTCTTGTCACTCCAATTGCTGTCAGTGGTACTTTGTTGGATTTAGGAGTGTAGGACTGGGATTAAAATTGCATGATACTGAGAACACCTGTATCAGTTGGCTGAAGTGGATGAAGACCCAAAATGAGGCCCACAAAGGAAACTATTATATAGCTCAAGAGGCTTAAAATGACACTGAACTCATCACTCTTATGTGAACCACATTTTCTCCAAACTACATTTCCAGGATTTAACATTTCTGATTTTCAGTGATAAATGTAAGCAAGAACAGAAGGGTTGCATGGAGTGGAGGTAATTTTGCCAGTAAAATAACAGTCATCTTTTATTCAAAGGGAGAAGTGAATTGGGCAGATGTTCTCAGACTCAAAGACAGAGCCTTCCTTCCGTAGCTATTCTGTGCAATTTTCAGTAACCCCATTCAGTACTGTCTTAGTACTAAACTTTTTGCATTATAATGAAAGGAAATCTTTCTCTTCCCCCGTATCAATCCTTGCTCAATCTATGAGAGTTCCAAAATTCTCATTAGCAATAAGCATGTAAAATCCCATTTAGTTAGTTAACTTGATTAAACATAATATTTAACCAGTTAACTTGATTAAAAGGGTGATGATTGGTAGGGTTGGAATACCCCTCCCCCTTCTGCAATGGGTGGGAGCTGCTCCAGCCCCTACCAGTTAACCGGAACCGTAAACCTCACTCGTGAAGGGTGAAGCTTGCCTAATCACATCCCTCATCAGCAATAATAAGAACCCTTATACATTCTCAAAGGCAAACTACGTGTCATCTTTTTGCAGTGTACACAGTTGCCTTAAAAGCTCTTGTCACCTAGAGAAATCAGTGGCCAGCTCGGTACAATGGCTAAAGACCTGAATTAATCAGCCTGTTCAATTTCAGCCAAGGGTTCGAGTTAAATCAGGGTGCCGGCATGTCTAGCGTTACTGTACTTTGTGGAGCGCCCTCTCACTGCATTGCCAAGACATTCAATGCCTGGAAACATTTGCAAACAATGGTCTCCAACAAAGGAACTGTGGCTGTTAAAAGGAAGCTTACTAACCATGATTGACGTCAGCTGAAATGGATAGTGACCAAAGGCTGGCATCTGTCTGGAGTAGCACTCATCGCTAGAAGGCCTGCAGTCAAGCACACTAATACGTGTGTCATGCACATGTTTTGGGTGTGCCTCGCTTTATCTTCCTCTGTAAGTTCAGTGATAAATTAGAATTATAGGATTTCTTTGTTATGAGAAAAAGCTTTGCAGGCCCATAAGTGCAACCATGGTAAGAGAGCGCTCATAAATATACAAAAACGAATCCTGATTTATCTTTTTTTAAAGGAGAACGTGGCTCTGACATCCTGCCTGATATTAAGAAATCATTTTTCTAGATGCAGAATTCTTTAGATCCAAAACAATTCTCATATCGAATTTTGAACATAGAGGACCTGATTTTTTGTAAAGGGTATCAATTCAGCTTCTAATTTTACAGGTGTAAAATTGCAACTACAAATCATTGTGTCCACAAATTATACCATTTCATGTTGGATGCCCTGATTTCCAATGGCTTACTCACTGCAGTTAACTGTGGGTACAGAATTGCAGACAATTATTTGCAGGAGAGAAATTGCGCTCCAAAAGCTGGAGGCTATTTCTGAAAATCTGGCCCACGGGAAACATAATTGGAACGTTTAACCAACATGATGTTGACCTGTGTAATTTGAAGCAATTTTCAACTATGAGATTAGTGCTGGTTAGCGTGGCAATATATTGTACTTTCCCTTCAATCCCTCTTCTAAGCAATGTGGCCTAGCTATCCTGATGAACATAGAAGTGTAAGTCTATTTTAAAGTAAGGCTATTGCATGTCTCCATTTCTAGGTCTCAGCATTGCACACAACAGTTATAGTCTCAAAGTACATTACAGAAGTGATCTTCAATATCAGCAAGAGAGAATTATTCTATAAGTACAAAACCTTCACGAGCTTTTTCAGGTCGATGCCTGCCCCTTAGATAACTACAGTAGCATTGAGAGATGTGGAAGCTTAGGGTGTGTCTAGACTACAGGGTTTGGTCAACAAAAGTGGACTTTTGTTGACAAAACTATACCTGCGTCTACACTGCCCCTGAGTTCTGTCGACATAACGTCGACAGAACTCAGCAGCTTTGTCGATGGCTGTAAACCTCATTCTACAAGGAATAATGCCTTTTGTCGACAGAGTTCTGTTGATAGAAGGTGTTATTGCATCAACACTGTCCTTTGTGTCTACACTGTCATGTCGATAAAGCGTCTTGCTTTGTCAACAGAACTGGATGTAGTCTAGACGCTCTTTGTCAACAGAAGGTTTGTCGACAGTATCTGTCGACAAAACTTCTGTCGACAAAAGCCTGTAGTCTAGATGTACCCATATATCACAGCAGAGAACCTTCTAAAGAGGGGAGGAGGGAATGTATGAAGGTAGTCTTTGACGACTGTGTAAAAGTTGCCAGATTGACAGCTCTAAAAACTGGAGTCCTCTGTTTATCCATGTATAGGTACACCACAGAAAAGTAGTAGTGCCAGCATCCCCACTGATTGCTTTCCCAGCATGTCGCTGTCCTGAAGGGACAAAGGGACAAAAAGGTTGTTTGAGATTCTGTGCTCATTGAATCACTTGACATTGCAGTAAGATGACCAAGAAATGTTAGCTTGGAAGCACCTGTCTCTTGGGAGCTGTATTGAAACCTACAAACTAATCCCACCGTGGATGCTGAAAACAGGAGTTTCATATTCTTTGCCTTGTCTGCATTCCGGGTGAAACTCACCCGAGAGAGAGCCAGCACAAAGAGTACATACCCCTCAAACTCAGAACTCAGACCCTGTACAGTTGGGAATTTTATTTTAATGGTTTTGCATCATACATATGCTATCTTCATTGATTTCACGCAACTGAGCGAGACAATCTTGCTATGTCTCAATGATTAATTGAAATATTTTGCTTGCATAGATACTTAATCATGGCTTAGTGTAGGGATGTAACAGTGTAGTTTATTAACCGATTAACGGGTAAACAAAATGGGGAGGGATAGCTCAGTGGTTTGAGCATTGGCCTGCTAAACCCAGAGTTGTGAGTTCAGTCCTTGCAGAGGCTATTTAGGAATTTGGGGCAAATATTTGTCAGGGATGGTACTTTGTCCTGCTGTGAAGGCAGGGGACTGGACTTGATGACCTTTCAAGGTCCCTTCCAGTTCTAGGAGGTAGGCAATCTCCATTAATTTTAAAAGCTTATAGGTTAATGCTATCTGTAGCCTACGTGCATTTCTACCCCTTCTCCTGCCAGTAAATTTTTTAGCAGACTGGGCAACAGCCCAGCTCAATCTTGGCTCGTGCCGGGTGTGAGACCTACCCCCACTGCAGCTCTCATTTAAAATGTATTAGGAGCCAGCCAGGCAGCCAGCCCGGCTCAGTTCCAGCTCGCTCCAGGCCCCGTGAGGGGTTTTTTAAACTGGCTCCCCACACAGACCAGCCCCCGCCTGGCACCCTGCGCTGCTACCTCTGATACAGAAGCAGCAGCGTGGGGTGGCAGGGGACTCCTCCGGAGTGGGGCCAGAGCACAGTGGCTGCTGGCCTCCCCCCTGGGGACTACAGAATAGTCAACAAACTGTGAGGTTACTCAACTATTCAATTAACATCCCTAGCTCAGTGTGGGGGAATAGACAAGATGACCTCTTGAGATCACTTTCAGCCCTACGCTTCTCTGAATCGGCAATTTCAGATGGTTTACATGCATGTCTGTCTGTCTAACAGCATGTCCTTTATTTTCACAGGGCCGCCACGTTAAGACAGGACAACTAGCAGCGATCAAAGTTATGAATGTTACTGAGGTGAGTGAGCATCTGTGAGGAGAAAAACGGTTGTCTGGTGATGAGCAAAAAGGACATATAAAACAACCAGCCAGGTGGCTATTGAAGAAGATGACCTGCGTGCATTCAGACCGCTTGCTGGGAGTTGAGATTTTTTCCCCCTGAAGTACTAAGGATGGTTATATGAGCAAGTTTAATTGTTTTCAGTCATATTTTTACAATGGGTGCAAAGCAATCACAGTTAGTGGTTGTGTATATTTTTGTTAGGCTATAATGATGAGAGAGAAACTATCTTCCTGCTTATTGCTAGTTGATTATCTGTTTCCAGCGATAGCACACAGAAGATTTCCTGTAGCTCTGTGTTGCCTCTGCTCCGTTTCATCACATCCTTTCCCCTCATACGCCAGCTATTCTTCTGTGCAGTGCAAAAATCTAGGGCATTGTAGTTGCACTGACAGCAAGCAAGTAAGAGCATGTTAGAGTTGCAAATGCTGCCATTTTTTATCAGATAGATGAGAGAAGTAGACAGTTTAATTGGCACAGTCCTTGCTCGCATTTAGAAAGTGGTGTCAGAGTTAGAACATAGTGTTACCGAATTTGCTAAGCATTGATTTTTGTTCCTCCTCTGATAGGTGCAGCTGGTACAGCAACTTGCTGCCTCGTAACATGAAAGGCCAAAAAACTTCCCTACTAGAGTTTCCTGCAATTCTGTCCTTGCACATTATGGGCCTGATTGACATACACACTCTGGGACTTTCTGCCGTGAAAACTAATCCGGAATAAGATTTGAATTTAAAGCAGAATAGCTTTAGGATAATTCCATGTGTGGACGCTGCCTTTTTCTGGTTTAGGGTAATCCACTTCCAAAGTGGATTAAGATAGTAAAGAAAAAAGCCTTGTTGGTCTGAAATTGTAGGTCTGGGATGCACCAGGTGTCCCAGGTGTTGCCAGGTGTCCGGTTTTCATCCAGAAGGCCTGGTTGCAAAGGGACTCTGGCGGCTCCAGTTAGGACCGCTGGCTGGGCCATTCAAAGTCCAGTTGGCAGGGATAAGGCAAGTTCCCTTAGCTCCATACAGCTGCTGGAAGTGGCCAGCATTTCTCTCTGGCACATAGGAGAAGAGGTGGCCAGGGCATACAGTGCCCTGCCCCCAGTGCTGTGTCCGCAGCTCCCCCGGCAAGGAACTGGGGGTGGTACTTGCGGCTGCGGGCAGCACTGACTGTGTAGAGCCAATTGGCCACACCTCTGCCGGGCATGCTGGCAGCTTCCGGGAGAACCAAGGCAGGCCAGTGGCCTGCCTTAGCCTGCTGCACTGCTAGCCAGGAGTCAGCTGAGGTAAGTGCTGCCTAACTGAAGCCCACACTCCTGTCCTCCTGTCAGAACCCCCTTATGCCCCTCCAGGGCCAACGTATTCCGTGTGTGCAGGTACACGCTGGCGTCCCTATCTGTAGGTAGAACGTTTACTGGCATCGCTGTGGTGGTTCTGAGTGTGGGTTTTTACCAACACAGCTGTGCCCGTGTAATCTCTAGTGCAGACACATTTGCACTGGCATCTGAGTGGTTTTGCCAATGTGGTTTGCGTCTCTTGGGAAAATGGTGTAAACTGTGGTGACAGAAGTGCTGTTTGCTAGTGTAAACTCAGTCTACACTGCGGAGGGCAGGCAGGGGTTTGCCATTACTGCTATACCAGTATCACGACGGTAGCAAAACTTTTCTAGTATAGACGAGGCCTACGAGTATCCGTACATGGAGCGATTGCAAGATAGCTATTCCTGGAGAATTATTCCAGAATAACTCCATATGCAAACAAGGCCTAAATTCCTCTTATGCCACGCTGGCCACATGCAGACACTACAGCAGTGGGTGTCAGCATAGAAATCTAAGATCTGGTCTGTGCCTAAGACTTAGCTCAACCTAGCGACATCGCTCAAGGCCATGAAAAGAGTCCTGCCCTGTGCGACGTAGTTAGATTGATTTGAGCCCCACTGTAGACGTAGCTAAGTTAATGGAAGAACACTCCTAGTGTCCTAACTGCCCCCCTCCATCACTGCAGTAAGTGTCAGTGCCGTAACGATGTCCCTGTAACACAGGTCGTGTAGACATACCCTAAGAAAAAGTGGACTTAAAGCAGGATTAAGTGTAATGTAATACACACCTACTTTAAGACCCTCTTACACTGCCAGGATAGTACAAAGTTATTATGAAAAAAACACAGGCTGTGTACCTTTAAAAATATACACGTGTACATATATATGGTCAAACTACAGGTACTAAGGTTTTGCTTTTCTATCTGTGTAGAGCAGAGGTGGGAACCTAAGGCCCGTGGGCCGGATATGGCCTTAACTTGCCTGGATCCAGCCTCCCAAAGTTTAGGGCTCCCTCCCAGTACTGGGGAACCCCTGCTGCTGCTCTAGACCCACCACTACTCCACTGTGGGGCTGCCCTGCCCCCCAAGCTCTGCTGTGCAGAAGGAATGTGGGGAGTGTCTTTCTCCTCAGTCAGGGGCCATGTCAGTGAGGGGTTGGGGTTTTGGTTTTGGGGGGTTTTTTGCTTCTCACTTGCATGCGACCCCCGACTGATTTCTGTGGGTCAGTGGTCCCCAACCCAAAAAGGGCTCCCCACCCCAGGTGCAGGGGGTACATTTTTAAACGATGGCAGCAGTAAACTTCTGGGACTTCTAGCTCTGTGGAGACGTGTCCAGCCAGCGACATTGTTTTGCAGAAATGAGTCCCCAAAGAGGACAGGTTTTTCGGTCGTGGAAGGGGCTGAATTTGTGGTAAGGTGGGAACCCAGAACAGACGCTCAGATGTGAGCATCTCCGCCTCCTGCATCTGGCAAAGTGAGTCCCAGCCCACGAAAGCTTATGCCCACACAGAGTTACCAGTCTTTAAGGAGCCACAAGACTCCTCATTGATTTTGCTGAAGAAGCCTAACAAGGCTGCCCCCTGACGCTTCCAGCCTTCAGGAAAGGGATCGGTAGGTAGGGGGCTGCCAGAGACGCAGAGCTGAAACAATGGCACAGAGTTGTTCTATGGACGACTTTTGCCTCCCACTGAACCCCAGGAGTCCACAGAGCTTGGGAGTTGTCCCCGTGGCCTTACCCAGAGGCAGTGGTTCTGCGCCACTACAGGGAGTATCAGTAGGAAAACTCCAGACGGGGAACTTGACAAGATCTCCTGCTGCATTGTGCTGCACACAGTTTGATATTCTCCACATTTAAATAGTGTGTGCTTGTGCCCGGTTGGAAACCAAACGTAAATGAAGGATAACCCAGAGACCTGGATTCACTGATTCCTACCAGTGTCTGCGTGTGGTTCTGTGAACACAAAGCAGCCATCAGTTTGCATAATGGCCTGGTTAGTCCTGCTTTACAGCTGTTTTGCATCAGTGTAGCAGCCCTGCACCGCTGAGGTGTATTGATGGATCTGACTCACTATTTGGGGAGCTGGGCAGCTTTACACACAAACGTTACGTCTACACTGCAAGCTTCTTGCGCAAGGACTGTTTTCAACAAGAGTTCTTGTGCAAAAGGTCTTGCACAAGAGCACGTCCACACTGCCATGTGCTTTTGCATAAGAGATGCGCTTTTGCACAAGAGCGACCATGGCCGTGTGGACACTCTTGCACAAGAAAGCTCTGATGGCCATTTTAGTCATAGCGGTTTCTTGTGCAAGAAACCCCCGTTGCCCGTCCACACTGCCTTCTTGCACAAGAGGGCTTATTCCTCGTGGGGAAAGGAATAAATCTTGCGCAAGAAGCCCTCTGTTCCGATGCTTTACTGTAAATTTACTTGCGCAAGAACGTGCATGCAGTGTAGACGCTTCACAAGTTTTTGTGCAAGAAGCCTGCAGTGTGGATGTAGCCTTAGGATTTACCCGTAACTAGTCTCGTTGGTTTTGGTTTGAATTATTCCGTGCTACGCTGATTGTGTCTTTCGAATAATTCTGCAGCACTTTCAAGCGAAAATCTTTAGAGCTGGTGCAATTCCCTTTGGGGTTTTCCCTGGTGCTCTCCCTTTTAAGCCCAGCGTCATATAAAAGCTCTGATGAGTTCATGGCTTGGTGCAGGCAGACGGTCTATTGTTTTCAGCTGTGAAATGGTAGGCTGACATGTTTCCAGTGTGCAGGGTGACAGCCTGGTGCCTGGAAGAGCAAGTCTGCACTGCCACAGGGTCTCCTGTGTGACCTTGGGCATGTCACTTATGCCCAGAGCCTCAAAGGTATTAGGGTGTCTAACTCTGGTGTAAATCAAAGGGAGGTGGATGCCTAAAGACTCTTCAGGATCTAGGCCTGAGTCTCTCTGGGTCTCTGCTTTTCCATTTGTAAAAGGGGGATATTGGTGCCTTGTTATGTCACAGGGATGCTGTGAGATTAAGTGAGCTGCTCATGTACTACAGTAATAGGGGGCTGTGACAGACTGCTGGCTAAGCCAGAGCTCTGCCACAGTAGGCTGGCTAAGGGGAAACAGCTGAGCAAGCCCTGGCCTGCAAGGCTATCAGAAGCAGCGCTGGGCCTCACAAAAGGAGGGCTCTGTAAGGCAGAGGAAGGAAGCCAGAGGAGAGAGAAGGAGTAAGGAGCCAGGGTGCGGCTCAGGGGAGCGAGCTCTGTCTGTCCATCCGTCCATCCATCCTGTAAACTTTGTAAATAGAAGGTGATGGGAGTTTACAATAAAAGGCACGGGTGACTGCACCAGAAGGCTTGTTGACTGATTTGTGGACCAGACCGCGGGAACTCTGCCACAGGGGCACACAAGTATTTTAGACAGAACTAGGTTCATCCTCCAAGACTTGTGTGTAAAGAAATTGTTTGCCTACTAAAGTTTCAGTATTTGTCACATAATTTTCTGGTCTAGCTGTGATTATATTATTTCTCTATTCCTAGAGGGTACGTCTACATTGCAAGACTATTTCAGGATACCGGTGGTATCCCAAAATAGATACCCTGCATCTACACAAGCCACCCGTTATTTCGAAATATTTTTCTAAATAACGGGCGTGCTGTTCCCTCATCTCGGTAAACCTTGT